GACGGATAAAAATCAACATAATAGACACAATTCACAGTTAACACAAATATTTTTGAAGAGAAACACTAATTCCAAACTTTTGAACTCCAGAATTTGTGTTTTTCCCGAAAATTCTAAGATCTTAAATCAAGTAGCTAGAGTAAAACTATGCCATGATAGATGATACTGTATTCATGGCATAAAGACACAGCAAATTAGATTTGCAATTCTTAGATGCCCAATTTGGCTCCTCGATACTGGGAAGAAACATACATACTTTATATAGTCATTCAGTTGATATATTATGCACAGTTTGCCTTCTTCCCCCATTGTCTCCATATCCAAAAGTGAGTTTTGTTCTACAATCATGTGTTGAAAAAAAAAAGTAGTCTGTATTTACGTGTTCTCAATACCAATGTATGCCTCCATCTTGTTTCATATGTTGTCATTACGAAGAAAACTTTCATCCATTATTCTCTTAGGTTCGTGTTTTGAATACCAATGGATGCCTCCATCTTTGTGTCATATGTTGTCATTACGAAAAAGACTTTCATCCATTATTCTTTTAGGTTCAAAAAACTTTGAGTTACATTATATTGCCTCATCATGAATATTGATTCAACATTATAAAACACCAACACCTTTCTACATTTCAATAACAAATTATAAATAATATACCTAAAAGTCTGTAACTGATACTAAATTTTGGTCATGTGTTTTTGTTTTTGTAAAAACTGCTAATCTTTTTGACAAAAAAAAACGTGAACTGAAAGTACAGAGCAGAGAAAACATGAAGCAAAAGTATAGTGAGCGGAGAAAACATGAAGCAAATGTATAGTGAGCAGAAAAATATGAATATGCAGCAAAGATTACCTTCTTCTACGTCTTATAGTTTATCAAATGTAATGTCCATTTCTTTGCTCCTCTCCCCCATTGACATTAGTGTAACATTCTTTTAAGTGTACTCGCAAAGTTCACTCACATACACTCCCAAGAAAATGATGTATATGTAAATATTTGACTTGGACCTGAATATCTAAGAATACGCGTAAAACACAGATTATATACGACTTCTAAGGTAATAACACTACAGTTTTTTGTTTGTTAAAGTATCTCAATAACACTACAGTTATACAAACAGTTGAATAATAACATGTTATATTTTTGGTTGAACCAATTTCCAGCGGAATGAAACTGAGCAAAGGCAATAATATTGTTTATCCATTTCAAATCAACCTCAATGAAGTTAAGACTTGCTAACTTATCATAGATTCCAATATCAGCAACCTTCTGTGCACAGAACCAAATTGACAAATTCCGCACCCTCTTCAACTCCGCTGCTACTCAAGTCTCATGAATCATGATGATGTTTTATTTAAGTACAAATCGATTTGAAAATCTCTTTTAAGTTGATTCTTCCTGCATAGAATATACAAAGAAAATTTTCGATTTAGCCTTTGTAAACTGACATCGATTTACCTAATTCAATAAATTTCAAAATGCTATATCTACATAAATTTCAAAATCTATGGTGAGCGCTTATATACACACTTTTTCGCGTCAGGATTACACATTATCACATGATGTCTCCTAGTAGGCTAGTATCTGCAACCCAATATAAGTTTGAAGTTTACAGAGTTTGGTTTACCTCTTTCAGACAAGGCAGATGCAAAAGGGAGAGACCTGAACAACATCGTCTAAGCCTTTAGCTTCCTTCTTAAGCCTTCTTTATAGTATCTTCTTCGATTCCTCAGCCTGTTCTTGTCCTCAAAATTTTGGTCTCCATAGTAGCATGGTAACAAAACTCCCGAACAACACCTTTGATGGAGGGATTGAATTCTATTGGAGATATCTTGGTGAGCAAGGCGAACCAAGTATTGTGGGCCACTGAAGCCTGTTTATGAAGTGAAGCCCATGAAGCCAAACCGAAGAATATTCTAGAGAATCCTATTGTGATAAGGATTAGGAAGATTTACATTATTTGGTGTTATCATTATGTTAATGTTAACCCTATATATGTGGGTCTTATTCTCTTGTATCAATAACACAATTCAATAATATATTCCTTTCTATAAGATTTGTCATGGTATCAGAGCCTTCGGTTCTTGGTGACCAAAACTAAAGCTTCCGCATAATGATTGAAGAAGGGTCCGACGAAGACGATCCGGATGATGACGTGAAACATCCTCACGTTATTCTTTTTCTTTAATAAACAAGTTTTTCTTTCTCTTTCAAATTTAATAAGTTTTCCAATTTGGTTTTTGAATAAATACGTGGCTTCTGATTTTCAAATTAAGTTTTTACTTATCATATTAGTTTGGGTTTAACTTATTGAAGGGATAATGATTTATCGGAGGATTTCTTAAAGGCGATTTTTTTTAGGGCTGGGTTTTCACAAATTATACTTTTATTTTTTTGAGATTAATTCTTAAGTTTAGAATTTCTCAAAGGTTTTTAGTTTCTCCTATTACGGGGGAGTTTGGTTATGGATTTAGAGATTTTATTGGAGCGCTCATGTTTTTAGGTCATTTATCTTTAGTCCAATTTATGGGCTGTCCAAGACAAGGACGTTTATTGTGAATTTGCAGAGTTTGCATTCACAGGATGTTATTATTCCCTTTCTTTCAAGACCAAAGACGAGCATGTTCCATCCCTATTGACTTGTATTACCATCCTCGACATGATTGTCCACGACATAGGTGTTCCGCATTGTGACTGCAGATTTTGCGTTTCGCGTCCACCTTTGTCGTGCGGGGGAGTATTGGAGATATCTTGGTGAGCAAGGCGAACCAAGTATTGTGGGCCACTGAAGCCTGTTTATGAAGTGAAGCCCATGAAGCCAAACCGAAGAATATTCTAGAGAAATCCTATTGTGATAAGGATTAGGAAGATTTACATTATTTGGTGTTATCATTATGTTAATGTTAACCCTATATATATGGGTCTTATTCTCTTGTATCAATAACACAATTCAATAATATATTCCCTTCTATAAGATTTGTAATGGTATCAGAGCCTTCGGTTCTTGGTGACCAAAACTAAAGCTTCCGCATAATGATTGAAGAAGGGTCCGACGAAGACGATCCGGATGATGACATGAAACATCCTCACGTTATTCTTTTTCTTTAATAAATAAGTTTTTCTTTCTCTTTCAAATTTAATAAGTTTTCCAATTTGGTTTTTGAATAAATACGTGGCTTCTGGTTTTCAAATTAAGTTTTTACTTATCATATTAGTTTGGGTTTAACTTATTGAAGGGATAATGATTTATCGGAGGATTTTTTAAAGGCGATTTTTTTTTAGGGCTGGGTTTTCACAAATTATACTTTTATTTTTTTGAGATTGATTCTTAAGTTTAGAATTTCTCAAAGGTTTTTAGTTTCTCCTATTACGGGGGAGTTTGGATATGGATTTAGAGATTTTATTGGAGCGCTCATGTTTTTAGGTCATTTATCTTTAGTCCAATTTATGGGCTGTCCGAGACAAGGACGTTTATTTGTGAATTTGCAGAGTTTGCATTCACGGGATGTTATTATTCCCTTTCTTTCAAGACCAAAGACGAGCATGTTCCATCCCTATTGACTTGTATTGCCATCCTCGACATGATTGTCCACGACATAGGTGTTCCGCATTGTGACTGCAGATTTTGCGTTTCGCGTCCACCTTTGTCGTGCGGGGAAGTATTGGAGATATCTTGGTGAGCAAGACGAACCAAGTATTGTGGGCCACTGAAGCCTGTTTATGAAGTGAAGCCCATGAAGCCAAACCGAAGAATATTCTAGAGAATCCTATAGTGATAAGGATTAGGAAGATTTACATTATTTGGTGTTATCATAATGTTAATGTTAACCTTATATATATGGGTCTTATTCTCTTGTATCAATAACACAATTCAATAATATATTCCTTTCTATAATATTTTGTCAAATTCCCTGATACAGAAACAAATGACAACCAACAAACGAGGAGAGATAGAAACATGATCATGACAACAAAGTAGTCTCACTCCACGCTCTGTATGTCTTTGTCCATATCGATATACCCATTTTCAGTAGTTTAGATATGTCAAAGCAATCGAACTATTAATACGGCGTAATGTTAGATAGACGAACTCTCTCACTCGTTTTGATACATAACAAATACCATGAAACGTACCAAGTTAATTTACAATTTTGACACGAACACCCAATTCCCACTTCATGATGTGATCAAGTGGCTAAGTTCGTAAGTTTTAATATCTATTATCTGAGAATATTAGGGAAGTTTTAATATTCTCCTAGAAAGAGAGTAAATACACAAAAGAAAAAAACGTTGTTGCGCGTCATATAAGTGTAAGTAAACTTAGATGAGAACAGTGTACACCAAGGCCAAAGGGATTGAAAACTCTATCACGCACCAAGTCAGACCGAAAAACAATCTCAGCGAAAGATTTTGATAACCGATACGAAAAAAAAACATTTCAGTTCCTAGAGACGATTTCTCATATTCCCTGAGAAATTTCAGGATCACATTCATTTGATCTGAAGAGGTATTAACATCTAAATTTGATCACTGAAAGGAAAAGTTGAATCTACCTGACGATGATCTTTTGAATTTGGATATCTATATAACAAAAATTGGATACACCCCTGTCAAAACCAAAAGAACAAAATACATGCTTACTTGTCACAAACATTCTTCTGTTAATCTACATGGCCGTGTATGTGCATTTGATTCAGAGAAAAAATAATGCTGATACAAGACTATGGTTAGGGTGTTGAGACTATCGTTAGAGTGTTTTAATTAATGGTTTTGGTGTTTTAATTGATTATTTAGGTATTCATGTTTTCCTTTTTACATTAGGGTTTTGTATCAAGATCTATATAAAAGTCTCTAATGATTAATAAGAAACTAAGCCCCAAGAATTAACCTTAATCTCTAAGAGAGAATTAGGGTTAAAAGGGAGCTAAGCTTTTACATCTTTCAATCTAAGTGTGTGAACAAAGGTTCATATCAATTTGGTATCAGAGCCGTGCGATCCGATGGGAGACCATGATTCCGCACAACTCGCAAAACTGATGGAATTGATTCAAGAGATGCACGCAAAGATGGATTCAATGTTCCGAAAGTGGGAGCCACAAAAGGGAAAACCCGCAAGGGTCGATCAAGCTCTAGGGCCAACGGTCAAATTCACCGTAGAAAAGCTTTTCGATGTACCTAAGCTGAAGCAACCGAAGCCAACTGTTGAAATATTGGTGGTATCAACTGTCGTTCAAGTCATGGAGTCAAACAAAAATCCAGAGAAGACAGAGACATCGTTTGTGGCTGAGCCAAAACAACCTGATCGCGTGGAGGATAGTAGCTGCAAGAATAGATCGTTTAGTCTAAGAATACCCGAACAATTCAAGCCTTCTCGTTAATGTTGAGATCGAGTTATGATCTGCCGTGAACAAGGGTTAAGAGAAACAAAGCTCTTATTAATAAATAAGAGTATGATCTCTTACAAGCCAAGAGAGTCATATATATAAGCTAGAAATAACAAAAAAAAAGGAAAAGAACTAATAATGGAAAAACATAGTAAAAGGAAATCAAAACCATAACGATTAAGTAAATATTCTATAAGAAAGAAAAGGAAATAAGAATGGCGGCTGCATCAGGTCCCCGGGGGTAAGAGAAGATTCGTCCGCGAATCTGGAGCATCATCAGCTTCGACATGTTTGATGAGATCCTTGACATTGAAGACATCAGAAGACCGAATATGAGCCGGAAGTTGAAGACGATATGCATTTTCATTAATCTTCTCTAAGACTTCAAGAGGACCTATCTTCCGAGCTTTGAGCTTATTGTACTCGTGAGANATTAAAGTTAGATCTTATTCAAAGTATTCATATATTCATTATGAATCTACCAGAAACGAAACGACAAAAAACAACCATAAATAGACCTCAAGTGTTCCTCTTCGACCTCAGATCAGAAAAACATCAACCAAACATTCAAAGGTATATGATACTACGCTCTGTTTTTGTAACTTTCCTTTAATTTTGTTCACTCTTTAGCTAATTATTCACATATTCAATCAAATGCCTGGAAAAGAAGACAAATTGGCAGCTTTTTCGCAAAGAGGTAGCCTAAAATATGAAGAAGTTTCTACAAAGTATGTGTGGAATCCGAAAAAAAAAGACTTGGTCAACGACACAAAGAGAGAAGATCATCGATGGGATAGTTATCAAGGAAAAGATTGACGAGAGTAAAGAGAATAACAAATGCTAGAACAATGTACCCGTGTTCTTTAGCATCGTATAGGCTCGATACCATGAGTCCAACTTTTGTTTTATTATCTGATTATTGTAATATATTTTCTCCCCAAGATTCTAATCTCCACAAATAGCCTTCAATAACAACATAACAAGAAACAAAAAAGTTATTCTGTTAATCTATTCAATCACCTAGAGTAAAACCTCTCTGTGTCAAACAATCGTAGATCAAGTGTTCTTACAGGAACAATCTTTCAAATTGATTAGAAGAGAAAAGAAGGGAAGAAATCCAAGAAAAACAAAGGCAGCACAAAAACTGACAACAGTAGAACATAGCATTAAGCAAAAACATAGAGAAAACAAAAGAAAACCAGATTAGAGATCTAATCAAAATAAAGGAAAAGCATAACGGAATCCTAAGCTAAACCAGAGGCATATCAAAGCAATGGAATTATTACCTGAAACCTCCACGAAGGCAGACCCAAATTCATGACCACTCCTTCCGCTTAAGACACAGAGAATGTAATTCAAACCAAAATCAACTGCAACTGAAAAAACCAAAGTATAAGTACACAATTGACATAAATTGGTCTTCTTCTTACAGCCAACTAAACAGACAATAAACTCTAACCTTATTAAATCCAACAACAATCATACAATTCATGGGACAAATGGAGGATCAAATTCAGATTCAGAAATTGAATAAATCATTCGCACTTTTCACTTTTTCGAAAATTGAAAAACTCAAAAGCCTCCAAAATTTTGAAATGACTTATGAAGCAGCGCAATGTTAACGATTAAGCCTTCCAAATAACGGAAAAAGTGAAACGAAGAGGAAAACTGTTCTTCATCATACAGAAAAGCAGTCGGTTTGTACGGGTTTCCTAGCCCACCCGCAAAACCGAATTGGCAACACACAATATTAAAAAAAAGAAAAGAATTGATAGATCAATTGGGCTTATACGAAATAACAAACAAATTATAACATGATATAAGCCCAAACTGTTTTTTTTTTAATATATATTTAACAACAAGATTAAATAAATGAAAATCTACCGCTGCGTAGCACGGGTCTAATTCTAGTATGAGTAAAACTCTTAAGTATTATTATTTAAAAAGCAGAAAGTATATTTCTGTTGTGTTTAGTGAGGGTAAATATCTAATTTTTATTGTATAGTTTCTTTCTAAACATTTTTCACACTATATTACTTTGTTGTGTTTGCATTTTATACGATCAAATTTCAATAGTTTCAAAATAAGCTAACTAACTTACATAGAAATTTATTTTGGGTTAAATATTCAGTTTTAAACAAATTTTTGATTCTCGAAAAAAAAATACAGAGAAAATAAAGAAGATAGGAAGACCAAAACTACAAACAGAGCAAACTACAACTGAAAATAGAGACGGATAAAAATCAACATAATAGACACAATTCACAGTTAACACAAATATTTTTGAAGAGAAACACTAATTCCAAACTTTTGAACTCCAGAATTTGTGTTTTTCCCGAAAATTCTAAGATCTTAAATCAAGTAGCTAGAGTAAAACTATGCCATGATAGATGATACTGTATTCATGGCATAAAGACACAGCAAATTAGATTTGCAATTCTTAGATGCCCAATTTGGCTCCTCGATACTGGGAAGAAACATACATACTTTATATAGTCATTCAGTTGATATATTATGCACAGTTTGCCTTCTTCCCCCATTGTCTCCATATCCAAAAGTGAGTTTTGTTCTACAATCATGTGTTGAAAAAAAAAAGTAGTCTGTATTTACGTGTTCTCAATACCAATGTATGCCTCCATCTTGTTTCATATGTTGTCATTACGAAGAAAACTTTCATCCATTATTCTCTTAGGTTCGTGTTTTGAATACCAATGGATGCCTCCATCTTTGTGTCATATGTTGTCATTACGAAAAAGACTTTCATCCATTATTCTTTTAGGTTCAAAAAACTTTGAGTTACATTATATTGCCTCATCATGAATATTGATTCAACATTATAAAACACCAACACCTTTCTACATTTCAATAACAAATTATAAATAATATACCTAAAAGTCTGTAACTGATACTAAATTTTGGTCATGTGTTTTTGTTTTTGTAAAAACTGCTAATCTTTTTGACAAAAAAAAACGTGAACTGAAAGTACAGAGCAGAGAAAACATGAAGCAAAAGTATAGTGAGCGGAGAAAACATGAAGCAAATGTATAGTGAGCAGAAAAATATGAATATGCAGCAAAGATTACCTTCTTCTACGTCTTATAGTTTATCAAATGTAATGTCCATTTCTTTGCTCCTCTCCCCCATTGACATTAGTGTAACATTCTTTTAAGTGTACTCGCAAAGTTCACTCACATACACTCCCAAGAAAATGATGTATATGTAAATATTTGACTTGGACCTGAATATCTAAGAATACGCGTAAAACACAGATTATATACGACTTCTAAGGTAATAACACTACAGTTTTTTGTTTGTTAAAGTATCTCAATAACACTACAGTTATACAAACAGTTGAATAATAACATGTTATATTTTTGGTTGAACCAATTTCCAGCGGAATGAAACTGAGCAAAGGCAATAATATTGTTTATCCATTTCAAATCAACCTCAATGAAGTTAAGACTTGCTAACTTATCATAGATTCCAATATCAGCAACCTTCTGTGCACAGAACCAAATTGACAAATTCCGCACCCTCTTCAACTCCGCTGCTACTCAAGTCTCATGAATCATGATGATGTTTTATTTAAGTACAAATCGATTTGAAAATCTCTTTTAAGTTGATTCTTCCTGCATAGAATATACAAAGAAAATTTTCGATTTAGCCTTTGTAAACTGACATCGATTTACCTAATTCAATAAATTTCAAAATGCTATATCTACATAAATTTCAAAATCTATGGTGAGCGCTTATATACACACTTTTTCGCGTCAGGATTACACATTATCACATGATGTCTCCTAGTAGGCTAGTATCTGCAACCCAATATAAGTTTGAAGTTTACAGAGTTTGGTTTACCTCTTTCAGACAAGGCAGATGCAAAAGGGAGAGACCTGAACAACATCGTCTAAGCCTTTAGCTTCCTTCTTAAGCCTTCTTTATAGTATCTTCTTCGATTCCTCAGCCTGTTCTTGTCCTCAAAATTTTGGTCTCCATAGTAGCATGGTAACAAAACTCCCGAACAACACCTTTGATGGAGGGATTGAATTCTATTGGAGATATCTTGGTGAGCAAGGCGAACCAAGTATTGTGGGCCATTGAAGCCCGTTTATGAAGTGAAGCCCGTGAAGCCACATGGAAGAATATTCTAGAGAAATCCTATTGTGATAAGGATTAGGAAGATTTACATTATTTGGTGTTATCATTATGTTAATGTTAACCCTATATATGTGGGTCTTATTCTCTTGTATCAATAACACAATTCAATAATATATTCCTTCTATAATATTTGTCATGGTATCAGAGCCTTCGGTTCTTGGTGACAAAACTAAAGCTTCCGCATAATGATTGAAGAAGAGTCCGACGAGACGATCCGGATGATGACGTGAAACATCACGTTATTCTTTTTCTTTTAAAAAGTTTTCTTTCTTTTCAATTTAATAAGTTTTCCAATTTGGTTTTTAAAAATACGTGGTTTTTGGTTTTCAAATTGTTTTTACTTTCATATTAGTTTGGGTTTAACTTATTGAAGGGATAATGATTTATCGGAGGATTTCTTAAAGGCGATTTTTTTTAGGGCTGGGTTTTCACAAATTATATTTTTTTTTTTGAGATTGATTCTTAAGTTTAGAATTTCTCAAAGGTTTTTAGTTTCTCCTATTACGGGGGAGTTTGGTTATGGGTTTAGGGATTTTTATTGGAGCGCTCATGTTTTTAGGTCATTTATCTTTAGTCCAATTTATGGGCTGTCCGCGACAAGGACGATTATTTGTGGAATTGCAGGATTTTGCTTCCACGGGATGTTATTATTCCCTTTCTTTCAAGACCAAAGACGAGCATGTTCCATCCCTATTGACTTGTATTGCCATCCTCGACATGATTGTCCACGACATAGGTGTTCCGCATTGTGACTGCAGATTTTGCGTTTCGCGTCCACCTTTGTCGTGCGGGGGAGTATTGGAGATATCTTGGTGAGCAAGGCGAACCAAGTATTG